GTGGGCGCTCACAATTGAGGAGGGGGGCATGTGGTAACACGCTTTTTGTTTTTTTGCAGAATTTAAACAATTTTAGAAAACTAGTACCAAAGCAGTGTTTGTAGCTAGAGAAGGGTACGCTAAATAGAGTGGATTGATGAGATCGTCACGAGGGCACAAAGAATCACGTAGTCGGATGTACCAACGCCAACGTCTTCGGCGCCTTCGGCAAAAGCTTCTTTTTGAGGTGTCTCTACTCACGCGCCTTTAGCGTATAAGGAAGCTACGCTTCCGGCGCAGACACCCCAGGAGGAGGTTTTGCTAAAGACGTCAGGAGAAGGGCCCGGACCTCTAAAGGCATCCGACCATGAGTGCGCCTTCGGCGAAGCGCCGCTAGCGCGGAAAGGGAAAACCTTCATAACAATCGGGATACACGGTAGATCCAGTTGGTTGAAGTTGCATTAGAAAGAGCTCGGGACGCTCGTTCTAACGAGTCCAAGAGCGCCGGAGATGGATCAGGAATGGAGAAGTTATGAGCGTCGGAAAACTCGTAGCCGGACATGCGCCGTTCGCGCTAGGGTTCACAGCCGGAAAGGATTCCCGTACGCCCTCGGCGATGCGCCTTCGGCGGAATCACGCGCTCACAGGAGGAAACCAACTCAGAGTCGGAAGCGCCCTTGGCGGCTGTTCATGGAAGGAAAGCGCCGGTCGGATGTACGCCTCCGACGTGGCGCTGACGGCCGGATGCGCTGGCATGAGTTGCGCTGACGGATATGCGCTGGCAGCAACGGACGAGGCATAAAGGACAAAATAGGCGGTACGACTGCGCGCCGGCGTAATTCGCTCCGGCTGGATGTGCGCCTCCAGCAAGGCGCCGACGAATAATGAACGCGCCAGCGGCGACACGCCTCCGGAGAAGGGCGGGTTAGGAAAAGACAACAGGGCCGACGTATACCCTGCAGCGGACTCGAGTCCGGAAGGTGGCGGCGGCGGGAGAATTCAACGTTTAAGCATGCGAATGCGCGCAATGCGGGGACGTGAATTCGCGCATGCAAAGAGCGAACCGTTAAGCCGTATAGCCGGCTGCGTACGTTGCAACCAGTAAGAACGTTGGACGTTCTTGAAATCGGAGAAGAAAAGACTGCGCTCCAGTCTCATTCCCTCATTCTTGACTTTGCAATTTCCAGTTCCAAGATTACGCGCAAGGGCGGAGCGACCTGCAGTGAGAGTAGAGAGTGCGGAGACGAGTTGCACAAGGATCTTGGCGGACCTTGAAAGAATTGGGAGTAGCGATCTTGAACGAGCGCAGAGAGAGTGAGCAGTCAGTGCTTGAGTGGCCGACGTGCAGTGGCGATTGCGAGAGAGTGAGCGAAAGGGAGAACGTTTGTGTGTGCAGGCAACGCGATGTCGAAGGTTCCCCAACTGCGAGTGTCTCCACTCAGGGTGCCGCAGATCGGTCTACGCGCATTTCAAGATGTGCTGACGAGGCTGAAGCTCGATTTTCTCCTCTGGGGGTGGAATTGGACGTGTCCGGAGATGGTGCGCGAGTATCTGCAAGAGAGACACAAGCCTTCTCGCGGATTTCGCCCACACCCAGAGAGATGGGAAATTTGCAATTGGGCGCAGGTGTTGGGTAGGTGTGCCGGCGAGGAAGGGGATCTCCTCTTCGAGGCCGACAGCGTGAAAGTGTCCCAGGAGGAAGAAGTCTCTTACAATGAGCTCTTCAAGGTGGCTAGACATCCCAAGAACGGTTTCCGGACTCGGGATTACAAGGATCGATTGCGGAGAAATGTCGCGACAGCATTGCTGCAGATATTGCAGCCGACCAAGACCGCTTACATGCATGGTTGGCAGGTAGAGTTCGTGGAGCTAGTGTTGTCAGGAGCTCCGGTGCATTGGGCACGGCTCCTGTGGAAGGTGACGCGCCAACATGCGCAAGAAGAGAGGGGAGGAACGCTCAATCATCTATCGCCTTACTTAATCGTGTTTTACCGGGCGATGGGATGTTTGACGAATGCTGAGAAAACTCGGTTTCCGCAGCTGAGCCGGTCGTATCCAGGTAGATATTCGAGGGAGGCCGAAGTAGACACGGATCCGGACGAGGAACCTGCCAGTACGCCTCCGGCTCCGGCTCCAGCCAGAGCAGCAGAAGAACGTCGAAGTGAGCGCATTCCGCGCAAGCGGAAGTGGGATGAGAGACCTGAGGACAGGCAGCCGGAAGTACCAGCTGCGCCGACTCGTGGTCGGCCCACCCCCGAGCCTCATAGTCGACCAAAACAGAGGGCACGCAGAATGCCAACTGTTACTGAGGAGACCAGGCGAACTCCGACCCGGCGGAATCTCACACAGGAAGAGATAATCGCTCAGGTCCTAGGGAAGACGGCAGAAACCTCTGCACAGAAGGCACCACGGCCTTCGGGAGGAGATGGAAGGACTGACAGCCGGCCGACTGCGAGTCGGATGACTGAAGGTCGACAAGCGGAAGGAAGGCCAACTGAACGGCGCGTTGAACCGGACAGCAGGCCGGAAGCGGAAGAGAGTTTGGCTGACGAGCCAACAATCCTCAGAGGGTCGTCTTCGGCGGAAGGCACTTCTGGAAGAACGCCCCCAACAAGCAGGCCAAGTGGAGTCAAGACGCGCAGGGTGTATCCGACTCCCAGTCGGACAACTGCTGGTCGGCCGACTGCGAGTCGGACAACAGAGAGTCAGCCGGATTCGCCGACTGCGAGACGGATGGGGCCAACGACCAGTGTGCGGACGCCTTCGGCGGACGCACCTTCAGCAAGGACACCTTCCGCGCAGATTGCGCCGGAAGGACAGGCAGCAGAAGCGGGCGGTGCAAGAGTGACAAAAGTCACTGCGGCGTCGACCCCTTCACAAACCGAAGATCGAGCCGACACAGGGGCTCAAGCAGTGGGATCTCCCACTGCCCTGGATATTTTAGCAGGCAGTGGAGCAGCAGTCGCAGCAGAAGCTGCTGCGCGCCACAGTTCCAGGGAGTCGCCAAGGGATTCGGTGGCGACTGAGATCCTCGAGACTGAGGATGAGACGAGCTCGGAAGAGCAAGAAGAGGATTCGGTGCAGAAAACGCCAACAGGGGTGCTGTGCGAACAGATAGTTCCACTCCTGCGATATCTGGATCGCAAGACATCCAAATACGCAAGTGCCTTAAAACCGCAGTCTTATGTGGAGACAATCAGGCGAAGGACGAGGAGCAAGGTGGCAAGGTGGGCCTCTAGATGCGGAGTATATGTGGATAGGAACACCGCCCTCCGACAACACCTGGCGGTCACCCAGAAGCTGTACCAAGCCTTGCAGCAGCAGAAGGAGGATGCGGCGACGAAGAGTCAGGCGGAGGCCGAACTAATACGGGCAAAGATCGAGTCGGAACTGCAGGAGGAGCGGAGACAGAACAAAGTCCTAGCAGCCGAGCTTGCGCGCCAGACGCGCGCCTTAGAGGAAAGTCAACGAGCCCGCAAGGAGGATGAGGAGTTGTTGTGCAACTTGCAAACCGAGTGCTCGGATTTGAGGGCACAACGTGCGGATTTAGAAATGCAGCTGGCAGAGGTGGAGAGCAGCTGCAGGGTACGAGGAGAGTTGGCGGCACGGGTGACTCGTTGTCTAAACGGATACACCCATTGGGAGGTGGCAGCTCAAGAGAGGGTTACACTCAGGGAGTTCGAGCTTCGGGCGGCGGCATTGACGGAAGGTGACAGTCGGAGTCGGCGGCGAGTGGCAAGAAAATTAGAAACCTTCTTGTCGGGTGCGCGCGACACTATGGCGCACTTGCAGTCGGAAGTCACCACAGCGCTCCGACGCCTGGGGTTACGCAGCCGGTCGGAAGACTGGCAAGGTAGAGACAGTAAGCGGAGCAGTCCGGCGCGCAGGAGGCGCAGCACCGGATCTGCTGAGTGCAGTAGAGTAGTTTGGTTTCGCGCAGATGCTGCGAGTGGTAGATAGGATAGCGTAGTGCTAGTTAGGATCTTTTGAGAGTATAAAGTAGATCAAGGCGTTTTGCCTTGGGACTCTTCCAGTTTCGGAAGTGCAGATCAGGAACTCACTTTCTTGGCGTGTTTGTGCATTTTGGTCCTGGCACCACGTAGAGAAGCTGCAGCATAGCGAAGTTACCGTATGTTGTAGTTGAAGGCCTTCGGCTGAATGTTCAGAGCTAGTACCCGGTTAGAGACTTGAGTAGTGCGGATCTGCACCTGCGGGTGATTTCTGATACTCAGAGCCGGCTGCGAGTTAGATACTTGAACAGTTCCCCCTTACTCCTTCGGGTGACATATCCTGATTGTACTCCTACGGGAAGTTTCCCCTGAATGCCAATGTGAAGTTTCATTACTTCGTGTAAACCTTGGTTTGTAATTCAGGTTGTGTGTGTGTTACTGGATCGTGTTTTCAGTAAGTTCTCAGTCGGGTCTGCACTCCCTGCGTTTTGTGTGATAGTCGAGGGTGACGTCCACGGCGTACGTAGAGGCTTCGTTCCGAAGTGAGAAGTCCAGTCCGGGTACCCCCGCTAGTTCCTGGCGGAAGGGCAGTAAAAGCCGGAGTGGGAGGCACTTCCTGCAGAACCTCTGAGTGAACTTGCGAGACACTTTCCTCCTGAAATCCGAAGCGGAGGTCCTGACCGACCTCCGAGTTGTGCTTTTTGCCAGTTTCAGGTGTGTGTGTGTGTGTGTGTTGAGTGACCAAGCTGTACCGTGCATCCTCCGAGCATCCTCCGAGTCGAGTTCCTCCTCCGAGTCGAGCCTCCGAGTCGAGCACTACAGTATTTCTGGGAGTGACAGTCGCCTAGAATTCAAACTCTACCAAAAGTCTGTTAAATGTGACACTTTTACTCTGTGTGTTGCCTCTGTCCCTGTGGGTTCGATCTTTTTACCACCATACTGCAGTTTTAGCCTTTGGTGGGTTATTACAGTATTATTGACTCAAATACTTCGAGTCGATAACCCTTATCTTTTGAGAATATATGCACAGAACTCCAGTCTACATATAAACTCCAGTCTGCTTCCTGGAGTTTACTCTCTGCGGGTAGCTTGTACATCACCAATCCTGAGAGATCTTGAGGCAATACACCGAATAAACTTGTTGGAAGAAAGGTCAAGCACTTGCAGTGCAGGCAACTTCCAAATCGAAGAAGGTATGAAACCAATGAAGAAGTTGGATGCAAGATTCAACAGTTCCAACCCCGACAAGTCTCCCCTCTGTGACTGCGGCTGATCCAACTGTGCATTTAGGACATCAAACTGTGGCAGCACCCCCGACAAGTGGTTTCTACTCAAATCCAACCACCCCAGATTCGAGCAGTTCCATAATGTGACGGGAAAGAGTCCACTGAATTGGTTACCGTTGAGACCCAACATCTCTAAATTTTGTAGTCTTGCAAAATTTGTGTGCGCTAGGTGCCCTCTAAGAGAATTGTAACTCAATCTCATATACCTCAGGGCACTGCAGTTGGTTAGAGTAACTGGAATGGTGCCAATGAGATTGTTGTTGAAGAGGTATAGAATTTCCAAGGTTTGTAGCTTCCCCAAATCCGGTGGAATCTCCCCAGTCAGATTGTTTGTATGCAGACTCAAGAGCCGGATCTTCGTAAGGTTGCCCAACTGCTGGGGTATGGATCCCGTTAGTTTGTTATTTGCCAAGTTGATATGTAAGACATCCTGCATGTTTGCCAAGCTAGCGGGAATCTTTCCCGTGAGCTCATTGTCATACAAACTCAACGCTTCCAACTTTTGCAGGTCTCCAAACTCTTCAGGAATGCTTCCCTCGAACTTGTTTCCCATTAGATACAAATCCATAAGTTGGGTCACATTACCTAGGGCCCTGGTGAGCTTTCCGATCAGAGCATTGTTGAAGAGGTACAGATATTTCATGTTTGGCCACGACTTCACCATCACATCCGTCAGACGTCCCGTGAATTTATTTTGGACCAAACCCCAACTTCCCAGACCCAAATATTCCAGGAGTGTTGAATTCGTGAATGCATCCAAAGCACCAGTGAATTTGTTGTTGGAGAGGGAGAGTAAGGTGAGCAAGCTGATGTTTTTTAAAGATTCAGGGATCTCTCCTCCAAACATATTGCTGTGGATGTAGATAATCTTCGCACTTGACAGCCTCCCAAGGTCCGCAGGCAGATAACCACTGAAGTTGTTGTAACTGAGTTCCAACCGCTCCAAGTTGCGACAAGAGAGGAGGAGCTTAGGAAATGTTCCACTAAATGAATTATATTCTGCAAGGAGATATACTAATTCAGACCAAGATGTGGAACTGACATGGACCAGGTTTCCGGTGAAATAGTTGTACGCAACATCGAGTGCGAGGAGCCGAGACAGATTTGCAAGTCCCACGGGTAGAAGCCCTTGCAGTGAGTTGTTTCGAAAAAAAAGGTATTCGCATCTGGTCAAATTCCCCAGTTGATGTGGTACAGCTCCTGTGAAGTTATTTTGCTGAAAACTGAGATACTTCAGGTGTATAAGCTTTCCAAGCTCCTTTGGGATCACACCTGTAAGATGGTCGTTGCCGTAGAAATCCAAGTACCACAACTTTGTGCAGTTTCCTAGGGACCTGGGAATTGTGCCTCTGAGTTTATTTCTAGCGGTCATCCAATCGACCTTCTCCGCAACCCAGTTCTGCACAGCTCCGAGATTCAGAAACCGTAGTTCCGAGAGCTGCCCGAGCTCTTCTGGAATCGTTCCATTGAACCACGATCCCTGAGAGCCAAGGTTCAGTACTTGCAGGCTTGTCAGATTTCCCAGCTCTTTGGGAATGCTTCCATAGAGCCAATTTTCTTCCAGGTTCAGGATTCGCAACCTCGAGAGCCGTCCTAGCTCCGGAGGAATCTCGCTTTGCAGAGAGTTTTCGTCCAGATGGAGCTCTTCCAGGTACGAAAGACTGCCCAACGAAGGGCCCAACGAGCCAGTCAAATCCAGCGAAGACAAGCTGAGAGCAGTAACATGCTGCTGACGATTGCAAGTGACTCCGGTCCACGAACAGTACTCTGATCGCTTGCCAGGAGTCCAATCATCCAAGGCACCCTCCGAATAGTTCCCGATCCCGTGCTTGAATGAGAGAAGGGCATCAGCCTCTCTGAAAAAGAAAAACTAAACAGCATAACTCAATCTGAAGCAGAATAGACGATATGGTAAAACGAGGTTTCATTTGCTCATTCTGGGAACTTTGATGACAATCTGGAAAATATGAAAAGTAAAATGGAGCCGGAGTCTTTCACTTACCCCAAGCTTACTCCCAAAAAAAATATTGCGTGTGATAACCCATGGGAGCTAGAGTCTGTTTCAGGACCATGATCATGAAACCATCCCTCTCGACTGTGAGAAATCTTTGATGAATTCGTTGCAGAAACTCCAGCGAGAAAACATGCTAAAACTAAAAGCAAATGACCTGGCGCCATCTTCACATCAATATACGGTGGGATTGGAGGTTGCAATTATGGGATTCAAGTCTGGCATTTATAGATGCTGCTCCCAGAGCCCAGCTTTCGCTGTTTCTCAAGCAAGTGGATGATATGTCAACAAAGAGTTAATGAGCCTTTTTGTTCATTGACTAAAATAAAATGCACCCGCGAGATTTTGGACTTTTGGACCAGTCTAAGATTCTAAACAGGAATGGCAACGAAATGAAGACTCTAAGTTTTATGAGCTCAGCAGGAATGCACACCATCGCAAAGGCATTTCGTCGGGATCTCCAATACCTCGGATTCGATCCGTTGATTAGAGAAGAAGGTCGCATTTCGGAACAGCAAAAGGCTTGGAAGATGGCCGTCCTCTTTCGTTGCCTTTGAACTTCCCGAGTCTCTACCAGACTCGGGAACTTCATTCTCGGAGCTTTTCGAGGTATCGTCGCTTGAAGGTTTGAAAAAATGTGCCGAGAAAAGCGTCGTGACTGTGGCATCATAACTGAAGCATTGTTGGAGCGTTTACTCTGTCGCAGCACGCACAGGGCCCGAAGGAACGAATACGAAGAGCAGGCGGCTAGAAAGGAGAATTGTCTTGCTTTCACGGACACTCCAGCGACCGACCGTCCGGGCTCGTAGGTCCCCATGGGTCTGGTCTGGCTCTCGATTCAAAGAACAGGGCCCGGTTCTAGCGACGCAGATGTGCTTCGTCCACTCACAGTGCTGCAGCAGTATAGCACATGCATATACAGCATGTCGATCTCGCGTCATGTCTGAGGACGAATACTAACTTCCGAGAGACTATTCAATTCCTTCCTGTAATTTCTGCTTTCTACCATCCTAGCTCTTTAATGGCTGCAAGCAGGGGCGGAGCTAAGGGGGGCATCCTCCCCCCTTAGCTCCGCCCCTCGTTTCCACGATCTGTAGATCCTTCCTGGGTCTAGAGATTGTGAAAACGAGGTGGAGAAAACATTTTCGCCTGGGGCGCTACAGAATTACCTGGCGGTAAGCCTCCCAAAAACATCCTGGCTCCGCCCCTGGCTGCAATAGAAGACAATTCAATTCACCTCCATGAATAACTATAATACACACCCTTTATACATCGTCATATTCACTTCCACGTGATATATAGATGGAACAATGAGAATTCTTCCAAAGCCAAAGACACAACATGCTCTGATACAACAACGATGAGCTGATTGCATACCAGCTTCTTGTGGCATCATTTGGTTGAGCTAGAGAATCAAAGATGTGACGGCATGCGTGGGAGTAGGACAAGCAGATATAAACTCTTGGCATATATTTTCATCCTCATCTGTTTTCATGATTGCATTCAAAACTAGCACGTAGTACAACTGTTGTGAACCTTGGTGATATTTCCTCAATGCTGCCAACGTTGTCGTGGAAACATAAACCTTCACATCAAACATGAACTATCATGACCCAAATCTCAACTTGTCTTGCATTACGGCTTGTACCCTGATGTGCTCTTGCGTCATGTGAATGGGAAGAAGTAATCACCACCACATGATTGAAAATTTAATACATAAAAATAAAAATATGTCACATACAGACATAAAATTGCTATGAATAAGGAATTGGTGAGATAACTTCGAACATAAAAACTGAGAAAAGATTGTGCAAGCAATAGGTTGATTACTTCGTCCATGATTCAATCCTGAATCATATAGATTTAGAGTTTTTGTCATATTTTCCTGTGCATGCTGTCATACATACCGGTCTGAAATTTAGCCGAATCAATATTTATTTCCTTATTTAAGAAAAAAGACCGATGTTAAAAAGAGAACAATTCAGACTTCAATGGACTCGAAATCATATGAATCATCCTTTTAGAATTTAAGGGATTTCAGTAAGAAACAATAGTCTATCAAGTGGTGAAATTATCAGAGTTAAAGCAATGAAATACGTAGTGGCTGTCCTATCTCTGACTCAAAAATCACCTTAGACAAACAAGACTAAATTTATGTGATGTGCGTATGCATATCGCACAGATTCAGAGTTCAGTCCAAATACAGAGCTGGGCTGAATTCGCCTTGGATTGTGTCCATATAGACAAAAGGAGAAAACTTCTGAAAGTGGAAGAGTATAACCTGGAAGAGAGATCGATATATTGAGAAATTAGTATATTGAATTGCATAACAAACACAGATATTTTAACCTCTCTAAACTAAAAAATCTGTCAATGCTCCGGATAAATGTTTACAAAATAGCGTTATAAGTGATATTTTTATTACTAAAATATTAAACTTAGAAAATACATTGAAAATAAAGATTTTTTACAAAAAAGCATTCTCACAAAACTCTAATCAATTTTTTAAGTGTAACTTCTTCAAATGTTATAAAAAAAAACTGTACCATCTCTTTATACATATTTGATAAACATGTTATGGTTTTCCTTGATTCAGATTTTTATCGATAAAATAATATTTCGAGTAAAAAGCTTGAATTGATTTGTTCTTAACTTTATTTAGAAATATCTACATTTTGAATTGCTATTTCGGAAAGATTCACTAAATAAATGATGCATATTGCATTACAAACTAATTTTATTTTGATGTCTAGGCTTTGAAAAGATGTGCATCGATTTTTAAATGTGTGCTGATGTATTGCCATTTTTAGACAAAAGGCACAAGTTGTTTGTTAGTAGGATATGAGTGATTCATACATTAGGAAAGTATACCAATAGTCTAATTTAGTGTCGTTAGTATAATTTTGACTTTCCAGATTTGGAAAAGAAATCCCACCAATTAAAGAATTAATTAAAGAATCCCACTAATTAATAGAGATTTACTATATAAATCATGTTTTTTCCATAACATGGATGTTCTATATTTGTTGAATCTATCCAATGAATCATAACTTATTTGGGATATATTTGCTCAACCATTAAGTAATGGTAAAAGTATTGAACAGCCATGTTTAAGATCCTAGTTAGATATCATTAAATTGAACATGAGTAGAAGATCATATCCTACGGGTCACACGGTACTCTAGGTGAAGCGTAGTTCTGCCTCAAGTCCTTGCAACGAGAAGGGAAGATGTAGTGTTTATTGAGCAAGTCAACTCTTTCTGAGGCACAATTGCACGTAATAATGCCTCAGCAGAAGATTTGCCTCCGCCTCGTCGTTGAATTTACCGAACACGCAATTGATACGGATATGACAGTCTCGGTTCCCGATGTGGCAACTTTCGGTTTCCAGTCGTCGACGCGAAGTGCTAAACGACGATTTGACCGAGCATCCAGGGTGACCAATGAGAGCTGCGGTAGATTCAAAGGTCGTTCCGGGGCCAACTACAACGACCACTGTGACTCTCTTCCTGTAGGGCAATGTAGACTACTTTGGAGACCCGATCGGAATTTCGTGCTTCAGACCTTGAAACACGGTAAAGTCTTACGGTCAAAATAGATTTGTCGTAGTTCGCGACTATGATCGCACGATGTCGCAGTGCAGTCAACTGGAAAGTCCGACGGGTCTCGTTTCTATTACATACGAGTGCGTCATGTCCCGATTGTGGATCGAGAAAGTCGGACAGTTTTAAGTCAATAATAACCTGCACAGCTCAAGTCTTGCGTCTCAGTCAAGAAACAATCGACGGCCATGACATGGAGGTAATACGTCATCAAGTCTGGAACCCTTCGACGGCGTACAATCTCGAAGACTCGTCCTTGGGCGTCAAGTCCAGATCCACGATGATCTCTCCTACCTCTGAGCCCGTGAGGGAGGTAGCTCGGCTCGTCCGAGACTCCCTGGGCGATGGCGAGCCGCTATCCTTAGTCCAGTCGGAAGACCGAGCTGTTGTCCTCTGGAATGCACGAGGCGACTCGGTGGGCATTTACTCCTCGCTCTTGCGACTGACCAGCGGCGGGCAACGAGTAAGTTCCCAAACTATTATTCAAGACAATATGTCTACTCTCTGCAGACCGCATCCCTCACCGGCTTTACACCATGAGCAGACGATGAAACAACGAACATATCAGAAAGGAGCAGAGCCCAACATTGGGTGCACATGCCCAAACCGAGCCCATGGTTTTGCGTTACATTATTTCATGGGTGGTTATTATTTCCTGGTGGGTTTGGATGGGCATAATGCCTGGACACGTCAGGTAGCTAATTAAGTTATCAGCGGAGAGATAATAACGAATACCAATTAAATAGTATACTGTACCAAAGAATTCTTTTTTTGTGCTTTCGATTTTGTGCATCCAGTTCCAAATGAGAGTTAAACTCCGGATAAGGTCCGACAATGCTATCAAGAACAGGTGGAAACGGCAGTGAAAATACGGGATGATGCATTTGAACAATACAATGAGAATTGGATCAATACTCACAATGTGGCTTTAAGAGATCTAGACGCTTCTCAAAATCTCTTAGCGTTGAATGGAAATGCCAATGTTTACCTTCAGGACTCGAATGCTAAAGAGCAACTTCTGGCATTGAACAACGAGTTTGAGTTTGACATGGGTGTTGATGAAGATAACCTCCCAAACAAGCAAGGGCATACTCAAAGGGCCATGTAAATGTCTTGTGAGTTGTGCACTGTGGCTTGTGTGGGTCGTGAGTGTGTGGGTTTGAAGAAGCTTGGTTTGAGAAGCCGTGATTCTGACTCCTAAAATTGTCTGAGACTTGCTTTAGATCGAGATTTCATAATAGGTGTAAGACTGTAGCAAGGATTGCAATTAATATAATCCATTTTTTTTCATAAATTTTCTCCTGTTAGTTCTACAGTATATTGTAGATACTCAGGTGGACGTAATGTTAAATAATTGTAGACTGTCATTGTAATAACCCACTAAAGGCTAAAACTGCAATATAGTGGTAGAGAGGTCGAACCCAAAGGAACAGAGGAACACACAGGGTACAAAGTGTCACGTTTAACAGACTATTGAGGAGTTTGAATTCTCAGGCGACTGTCACTCCCAGAAATACTGCAAGTGTCCACTCGGAGCGCACTCGGAGGTCGCACAGTGCAGCATAACACACACACCTGAAACTACAGGAACACAACCTAGAGATCCGTTAGGACCTCTACTCAAGATTTCAGGGGGAAAGTCTCTCAAGAGTGCACCCAGCGAAGCTGCGGGTAGTGACTTCCAACTCCGGCTTTTACAACACTTCCACTAGCTTGCTGCTAGTGTAGGAAACCCGGTTTGGACTGCCTACTTCGGATCGAAGTCACTCATACGCGGTGAACAACACTCTCAACTCACAAAACACGTAGAGAACACAGGTCCGCACTGAAGGACTCACTGAGAAACATTCCAGTAACACAATAACAGTCTATTGAAGAGTTTGAATTCTCAGGCACTTGTCATTCCCAGAAATACTACAGGGATTACCCTGAAGGCACCTGCTGCAGCGTAATCTGAATTACAACCAAGGCTTACACGAAGTAGCAAAACTTCACTTTGGCATTCCGGGGAAAAATCCCGAAGGAGTACAATCAGAAACAAACACTCGAAGGTGTAGGGGCGAAACTGTTCAAGTATCTAACTAGTCACTAGCTCTGAGCATCGGCAGTCACCCGCAGGTGCAGATCCGAACTACTCAAGTCTCTAACCAATGTACTAGCTCTGAACATTCGGTCGAAGGCCTTCAGCTACAAAATGCGGAACGCTAAGTTGTAA